GTCTATGATGATAGAAGCCGTAGATTAGGTGTATGAACAGTTCGGTTATTGAGTTTTTCAGTTATAAATCACAGTAATCTGATTAACCGGGAGGGGGCGGGACAGTTAGAACTATTTTGTAAGTTTTACTGCAATGAACATGCCTAAAACAGGATTAATTGTTTTACAGTTTTACGATCCCCCCCCCCCTCCTTCCCCCAACTCAACAATACTTTTTTCCTTTCGGCCTAATTTCGGACAACTAACAAACGGACACAAAAGACCTCATCTTGCGCATTGTAAACACTAAGGTTAACAACCATTGACGACCTTAGACCAAGGCGACGTGAAAAAATATTTATATGGTTCATCGCTTTGCGTTGACCGAGTGAGTACTGTGAACTGAGTCTATTTGAATCCCATTAGGGCTGGGATGAAAAACTAGCGGTCATTATTTCAAAATATTACAGTCAAAATGTGTCGATATCGATAATCCTTTGGATTATTTATTAATTTTTACGGACACACTAATCAGTTTTCAAGTTGGGGCTTAAATCACCAGCGATAAACAGAATTATCATGGATTAGTGTCATTAAGTCGTAACAAAGGAAAACATAAAGAACAATTCGATTACCTCTTGCCATACCGGAAGTTGTTGGTATCATCCGTTTTGGCAATGATTAATGAGATGTCCACTGAAACAAAGTCACGTGGGGTTGGTGAATTGATTATTTCATATCGCGATCAATAGGCTGTTCACTAGTGAACTGTGCTGCTACTGCTTCGGCGAAGCAATGAAATAGCATTTTGGTCAAAACGAATCAGAGAGACCAAACAACAACAAGGACAACAACATCAACAATCAAATACTGGTTCATCGGCAACGCAGATTTGACCTCAAACTTTGCCGTCATGAAAACCGAACTATTCTATGTGCACTTTAGTAAATTCCACGTATATGGTAATGATAATTATTTGTATGCAATTTACAACTGACCGATATGCTGCACTGAATGTTTTTGAATGTTACAGCTTTTGTTCAGCTGTTCATTAAGAATCAAATTTTTGAAACCTTTATTTGTTTATATCTTATTCATCAATTCCTTCACTTGTCCTGGATGAAGGCGTAAAAGTTGGCTACTGTGACGGCGTTAGAACGCATGGAAATTGCTTAAAAGCTGCTCTTGAGACTAACTATAATTTATTTATTTTATGTGAGTTATATGTTTTGGATAATATAGAAGTAATTTAGTTGTACTGCAAGGCAAAAGAAAAGCGATTACAATAAAAGCAATATAGAGTTGTCATTGATATCTTGTTAAGAGGGATGAGAACTATAAAGTAATGATGATAATAATAATTTCTAGACAGTGCCAGAAAACAACTGGCCCGGAACCGCTAATGCTTCTCAAGCAATACCTCACACAGGATAGCTGTGTTTCAATAATGCTGTTAGTATAAGACTTCACTATCCAAATTAAACGTGGCAACCAAACTTTCCATAGGTTACCATTCCTATTCTATTCATCTTACTCATGCATACTGTCAGTTGGATTGCATTTGGAAACATTTCTCACAATTCTTTGTAAAACCAACAAAGACAGTTGACAAAAGATTACAAAATTGGTCTTCAATTCCAAAATGCGTTGTTCAAGGAACAAAGCTGCTTCGCTCACTGAAAAACGCTAAGGATTCTTGATGTCTAAAATTCCTTTTCTATGTTTATTTAGCGCGCTTTAGCTTGAATAGTTTTGTGCAGAATAAAAAGGGCCCACCTTTCTGTGTTACTATCGAAAAAAATCACCAATCATCTGAAAATAAGTATCCCGTGGAGGCGTGCTGATAACGAGCACCATATGCTTTTACTTTCCTTTAGATTTTACCATGCTGAAATAATTTGTTCGCAGCCAAATTTTTCACAAATCATTTATTGCGAGAAACCATCGCTAATTAGATTCGTTTACATTGTCAGCAATGCAAGCCTTTGATGTGAATTAGTGCTGCTTGACTTTGCACTCATTTGGGAGGGCTATAACTGTAGACAGCCATTAGTCAGGGGATTGAAAAATATAATCAGCTTGAGGTGATATCTGCTTTCCGTTACCTAGCAACACTGAACCTTGGCTCAACCAACAAATATGCCTAATCAAACCATTCGATTGTCACAAATTTAACACACCGATGAATTGTATGCTTTTTGACGAATACTGTCAGCTCACAAGCCATAAGTGCTCAGAAAATTGCGTTTACGGGTTGTTTCAACATAAACCATGAGATTCACCGATTTGCGGCTGATCATTGTAATTTAAACCTGCTGCTGGCATGAGACAGTCAGCAGCACCAATGAATCCCACTGCTTTCTTAATGCGTCAAACATTTTTGCGAATTCTGTGCACAGATGGGAGCAACCCGTTATGGATATCCTTGCTGCTTTAAGAAAAAATATCTTTCCAATCGAACAAACTTAATACATTTATCAATAATGTCATACGTAGGTGAGAAGCGGACTATAAACAAACAGGTTTAAAATTTACTTTCGGGCGCATGTTACCAAAGTGCTTTCACGTAATAACACCTGACTCTTATCTGAGCCAGTCAAGTTTCGGAATGACCCCTACTAAGTTAACTACTGAAGAAAGTTTAAAATAGCAGGAAAAGCATATACCAGGTATTCTGCTCACATTTATTGAGACTCAATGAAGTGACATTCTAACAAGGCATGCTTTTCGCGTTAGAACTACATTCGCCCTCAACAGATTAAAAACAGACCTTTGGTTGAGTTTCGCTATCCAAGGCTTCTGACTACTTGGGCTCACGGGATGTAAATAAAATAGTTAATAGTAGTCGTGGAGATCACACATAAATTATAAAGATTATCAAATTATAAGAGGCATAAGGTTAGCTTTTTCCTTCTAAAACAACCAAAGTTGAGTAACTTCGATTCAGTCATCCCTTTCTCCTATTGAATCACATCGAAAGTAATATTATTTTTGGGTATTTTCAAAATAAAGTCGCTACTAAGGTTTTGCCTGTCTTCAATCATACGTATTACATATTTTTGTCTAGAATAAAATAAACATTGTCAGTTGCTTTTGTTGTATAATATAATTTTCAGTGGTCAAGTCGGAAATCTATTAAAAATTTGCATCGGCGTGAACCAGAGCAGTTACAAACCCAATCTCCTAATGATCGGTAATTTTGATACCGTTTTGTTATTTGCAACATTCATCTGAGAGTACCTCAGGGAAACGCAATTAAATGCAGCGAAAATCAATATACTTAAACTATATATAACAGCAGGGTCATCGGTTGTTAAGTGTAAATTTTGATTAAACCAATTTTTGCTTCCAGTTTGGCCAATGTCCAAAAGCTATTCATCAACTGCTTCATCAAACCAGGAAGAACCATTTTGTCCGGAAAAAGCGAATAACTTTTCGTTTTGAGAGACCTAAGGAGAGATAAATATGTTTTGCAGAGCTTCAACATAAGATACTGAAATTCAAAGTGTTACTGAAGTTGAATCGAAGGAGGCATTGTTTCAAAATCGATGTGCATTTCATGATCAAGGCGACCTTTTATTGAGAGATCAGTTGGAAATATCGATGTAAGAATTCATTTATGTGAGAGGGATTCCACTTACAAAAACAGATACTTGCTCCTTTCAGAAGGGCTAAATTTCTATCATTCATCAAAAGCGAGAAAATGACAAGTATACAAGTAACACTATTTTGTCATTTTGTTGTTAGTTACGATCAAATGAGAAACTTCGCATACGTCTTTTTGCTATATTTTTTTTTAGTTCACTTTGTCAATTCAAAAAGCAAAATATTAACTGGAGCCGTCGCTATTTGATCAATCCGGAAGCCGTTTTATCGCAAAGTGCACACTTCAAAGTTGTCAGCCATAGAAAGCATGTTTAATAATAGGCATTTACGGGACAGATGGTAAATGTTGCGTCTGGGTCACTTCTGTAGCGTCCGTCAATCATTCGTGTCTGTTATTGGTGCGCAGAACGCTGTAGCTATTACGGGAATCAGTGAACCGGTTTTGGTTAGCAGTTACTACATGCACATTGCCCTTACACCACAACGTGTCCCTCCGCCCAATGCATTTTTACCATAATAGTTTGTGGGCACTGAGTATGTTGAACCTGTGAAATCGAATGGCAGTAAAGAGACCATTGAAAAACTATCAACTGAATAAAATCATTGATTACCGATATTTATTTGATTTATTTGCTTCAAAATCGAATGTCTTTCGACCCCATAGTAAAGTAACTTTAGAAAGAGTTAGTTTTCCAACTCTAATGAAATAGTACATTATTGTATTTCAGATATCCTGGCACAAAAGCGTTCTTCTTGCTGATTCTGCGCCAAGTTTGTCTGAATCGGAATCGAAAAGTAATCGATTGAGTCAACTCATTCTTCCACATTGTATTTTTCTTCTTACTAATCTGGCGAACATAAAAATGTGCGAGCAGAAGGGGAAATTATTTATTTATCGGTTGACTGGAGACTGCAAGATGAAAGGTGATGAACGGACAGTAGTGGTTTTTGTCCGCATTTTAATTAGGTCATGCTGGTCGAATAAATAAGCGCTCTCGGTTGATTGTGTCATCCGTATGTTCCCTGCATCAGTTAACATCCTTTCTCCTCTCTCTCTCAAACAAGCTAGTTTTCTGTCAATTTACTATATCATTTGAATGCGTCGTGAGTTTGGTAGTGACTGATGATGTTTCCTCGACTCTATTGCGCCCCACGACAAAAATGAATATCGGTACGTTTCACAACGTTTCTGGTGAAGTACGGTTCTATTTGCAGTTTTCTGGTTTATTTTTTGAATCATATTCAAGAATGAGGCAGATATGAAGACACTGTTTCTTATGATCAACTCATGCAACCGTCTCTATCATTCATATGATATCGTAAAAAATAATGCATCCCGACAACAAGGCGCTAATACGTATTAGTTCAGTAGAGTACCGTATTTAGGATAGAAATACTTGAGCAGGTTGACGTACTTGTTCGCAAGGGGTGTAATCTGGCTTTCCAACTTCCATAGCACGATCCAGAAAGCTGAAAATAATAAAATGAGAAAAACGGCATGCGGAGTTGTCACAAGGTTGTTTGGTTTATAAATGTCAAAAGGTTGATTAATTGACAAATGAATAAATGGGATTTATGAGCTACGATGGTTAGGCTGAACGTTTAACGTACATGAATATAGCACGAGTGTAAAAAAGAAGACAGCCTGGTAAACTCAAAATATAGGTCATAAGCTTTTCATGAATCTATATTTGTTCTGCTCAGTTTTCCACGGAATTGAAAAAAGTTGTTCACCCCCAGTCTTTTTTAACGAGTAAAGCAAACCATGCGGTATTGCTTTTGGTTTCTTTCCGGTCTTGGTTGGAACATATTGATTTTGCTGGTAATACTTTGTATCACACTTCCAATACATCGTTTTAACTTTCTAGTGACATAGAAGCATCACTGCTCCCTGCCCTGTATACCAGGTGCTAAGAGACAGGAAATTATTTGGTTAATTTAACTTTGAAACTAACCCCTTAATTATTTACCCTTTGAACTCGGTAATTGAATTGACACAATAAAGATGGGTGGTCTGTTAGACAAGTTTGTGATAAAATGACCTATTTATATAATGCTCTTTTGTAAGAGGAGGGAATCATGACATATCAATTCACAAAGTTTCTCCTTGCTTTTCCTTTCTGTATCGATCTATACTTCTGTTGTAGATGCTTTTGGTAATGCAAGACACGGACAGGTTGAAGGAAATCATTTTATCAATTTACTGGCGTTTTTAATTACCACTAAAGCAAATATTGTTACAACAGAAGAATAGTTTAACATAAATATATGAAAATTCTACAAATGTCAGTTGAAGCCATCGAACGAGATTCTCTGAGCGAGCTTATTAGAGAAAACTTCAACTTTTGGACAAAGAGACGGTGTAACGAATGATTGGCATGAACTTACTATTTCGCGCAGTCAATCAGCTGGTATTCATTGGAACGTTCAAATGCTTGTTGAACTCCAGGATCTTTCCACACAGTGGCAACTGCTTCAAAAAATTTCTGCAAAGAGATGAATTTATGGGATGGATGAAGGTGCTTATTGTTGATTTTATCAAAGAAAACTAATTCTCCTTTTGGTTTTTTAATGGAGTGAATGTGAAATAAAAAGTGTGATTTCTTTAAACACTGAGCTAGCAAATCACTTTTTATTCGGAACGAAGTTAACGAATAACGAGAAGTTTCCTCTGGCATTTTGCATTTGGTT